AGTGGGAGACTGTGAGCTCTAGTTCTGCCTTAGGCATGAAAGCAGCTGGGTGACCTTGGGGCTAGTCACCAGGAGACCATAAATTCTAGTTCCATCTAAAGTATGAAAGGTGGCTGTGTGTCCTGGGGGCAGAAGACAGTTAATTCTAGTTCCACCTTAGGTGTGAAAACCAGCTGGGTGACCTGGGGCCAGTCACCAGGAGACAGGAAGTTCTAGTTCCACCTTACGCATGAAAGCTGGCTGGGTGTCCTGGAACCAGTCACTAGGAGACAATGAGTTCTAGTTCTACCTTAGGCATGCAAGCCGACTGGGTGACCTTTTGCCAGTCATTTTCTCTGAGCCCAACCCACTCACAGGGTTATTGTGGGGAAAAGAGGAAGATTTAGTTTGTCTGAATTGGTGGTTCCTTGATTGGGGTATTGTTTACTTCTTGGTTGTTGGCCTAGCATTAATCTTGGTGTTAATTTTCTGCTCATCTGTGGGTTTTTTGTTTTATATATATATGTATGTATGTATGTATGTATGTATGTATGGCGTTCGGCTTTGTTCGGGTATTTTCCCACGTCATTGTAGTTGTGCTTTTAAAGTTGTAGCGACGTTTCAGCAGAATCTCATCTGCCATCATCAGGCTTCTGTATAGTGTTCATCTGTGAGTCAGACTTTTACAGTGGTTTCAGATTTAAATTTGGGGCAGCCTATTGCTGTGCCAGAATGGTTTTTTCTTCATCCTGATTGGTTGGGAGTCTTGGTCTGTGTTTATTGGTCTTGAAGTTTGCTGTGTTCTGCTTGATTGGTGTTTCTAATATCTTCTGTCTGTTTTGTGGCTTTTTTTGTGTCTTGATTGGCTGGCAACATTGTGTTACTTTATTGGAGGTCTTTAGTGCAGCTTGGCTCCGGGTAAATGGACGGCTATCATTAGTTAGGAAGCTAGGTTTCATCTGGGTGCCTGGTTGGGGTGTGTTTGAGCTGGAGGTATCAGGGGGGATCTGTTTGTGCCCAGGTGTTTGCCTGGCTTGTGGTGTGGAGATTTTTTTGTTTGTGAGTGCAGGCTTCCAAATAATTGACAGTCTGGTGGAATCATCTCTTCTATTCTATATATATATGGTATTCAGCTTTGTTCAGGTATTTTCCCACGTCATTATAGTTGTGCTTTTAAAGTTGTAAGATGAGATTCTGTTTTGGCAGAATCTCATCTGCCATCATCAGGCTTCTGTATTGTGTTCGTCTGTGAGTCAGACTTTTACAGCCGTTTATTTCCTTTCACAGTCTGACTCACAGACGAACACAATACAGAAGCCTGATGATGGCAGATGAGATTCTGCCGAAACGTTGCTACAACTTTAAAAGCACAATTATAATGACGTGGGAAAGTACCCGCGAAAACTTAAGGAAAAAAACACACACACACACACATATTTGTTTTCTTAAGTTTTCGCAGGTACTTACATGTATGGTATTCAGCTTTGTTCGGGTATTTTCCCACGTCATTATAGTTGTGCTTTTAACGTTGTAGCAATGTTTCGGTAGAATCTCATCTGCCATCATCAGGCTTCTGTATGTGTATGTATATATATATATATGGCATTCAGCTTTGTTCGGGTATTTTCCCACGTCATAATAGTTGTGCTTTTAAAGTTGTAGCGACGTTTCAGCAGAATCTCATCTGCCAGCTGTCAGTACTTTGGTCAGGGTGCATAGTTCAGTCTTAATGTGTGTCTTGAGCTATGACTGAACTATGCACCCTGACCAAAGTACTGACAGCCAACGGCTTCCACAAAAGCAAAATCACTGGCTTGATCCACAAAAACACACTGAGACATAATAGAGACCCAGAAGATGAACAGACCCATGGAACAGCTGTCCTGCCCTACATAAGAGGCACTACAGACACAATTAGTAAGATACTACACAGACACCACATCAAGACTGCCTTCAAAACAGACAGAAAAATAGCAGCCATCCTCAGAAACCCCAAAGATAAAATTGACCTGGAAAACCAAGGCATATACGAAGTCCCCTGTGCATCATGCCCGGCCACATACATTGGACAGACCAATAGAAGAATAAGTACCCGCCTGGATGAACACAAAAATGCAGTCAAAAAGCTGGAACACACTTCCTCACTAGTCCAACACATGGAAGCCACAGGTCATAGCATCAACTTCAATGGCACCAAAACCCTAGCCGCTATAGAAAACCCCAGCCACAGAATCATCAGAGAAGCCATAGAGATTGAAAAAAGACCAGAAAGCATGAACAGAAGAGATGATTCCACCAGACTGTCAATCATTTGGAAGCCTGCACTCACAAACAAAAAAATCTCCACACCCCAACCAGGCACCCAGATGAAACCCAGCTTCCTAACTAATGATAGCTGTCCATTTACCCGGAGCCAAGCTGCACTAAAGGCCTCCAATAAAGTAACACAATGTTGCCAGCCAATCAAGATACAAAAAGAGCCAAAAAACAGACAGAAGATATTAGAAACACCAATCAAGCAGAACACAGCAAACTCCAAGACCAATAAACACAGACCAAGACTCCCAACCAATCAGGATGAAGAAAAAACCATTCTGGCACAGCAATAGACTGCCCCAAATTCAAATCTGAAACCACTGTAAAAGCCTGACTCACAGATGAACACAATACAGAAGCCTGATGATGGCAGATGAGATTCTGCTGAAACGTCGCTACAACTTTAAAAGCACAACTACTATGACGTGGGAAAATACCCGAACAAAGCTGAATGCCATACA